ACATTAAAGAAAAGTTATTATGGCCACGCCCCCTGACAAACTGGGAGCCCATTAATTTCAAAAGAAAATGGAAAAATTAAAATGGATCATTTTCACACTTGTCGGTTGGAAATAAACTCCTTCCATTTCACCTCTTTGGCTCAAAATCTAAATATATGTAACAGTACTAATTGCTCTCAGAATTTTGATATTTCCTATTCCTATTTTTTACCCTGTTCCCGTGGCGTTGACAAACACTCCCCATTCTGTGTCAAGGAGGAAATACTAAAATTTCTCAAACGTACACCTCGCACAAATAACAAACCAGACACGGCCGTTTCACTAATTTGGCTCAAAATTGCTCCACATCATCTAAACACATGTACCATCAATATTTAGCAACAGAATTTTAAATAGTCAAACGGTCCACGCGCGGCATACTCGCATATTTGGGTTATTTCTACAGAGACTGAAAGTTCCCATGTTATTCAATGGAGACACACATTCACTGATCATATTCAAAATTCACAGTGTCGCTCCCATCAGGGCTGTATGGGAGATGCTGCCTCCTCTGCGCGGTGCAGCGAGGGCCGTTTGACTTTAATTATTATTATTACACCTCTGGCCAAGACATACACCAGACAGATGATTTGAAAGGCATTAGGATTAATGAGCATAAAAGATAAGATAAGTTACAGATGATGTGGTATTATTCATTAAAGATTTTAGACATGACTCATGCTAGAAAAAAGTTTAACATCCCTAAAACCCAAATTTTGACAAACAAAAATGTGTGCAGAAATACAACTTAACTGGGATAGTAATACCATCCTTAGAATGACCTACCAACTAAACAATTCATAAATTGGGATCGGAATTAGGATCAGGTACTCAACATTGCAGCTGACTGACGACTGAGGCAGCATGGCTCTTTCCAACTTGAAGTTGTATTTTGATGCTGCTCAATTGTGATATTTATGCTGTTGGTGTGACCCTGAGTATTATGCCAAATAGAAATAGATATGTTGGCCCGAATTTCCAGTGGCGTTCCAAGGGTAGCCCGGGGCCCCTGGCAACAGAGTCCTTGGGGGCTCCGATACCGACCACATAACCACATAAAAAGGTTTATATTACAGTAGGTATAAATATATATTTAAAGATAAGGTACAATGCAATATCTATTACTTGTTTACATTACTATAAATTAAATGTAGATAATTTCTTATTTTTAACAATAAATGGATAGGCCTGGGGCCTGCCTGGTACAGTCTACCATAGACAATTGTGAGTACTTCAGCACTTATCGTGACACAAAGCAATGAGAAATATTTTAGCATGTCTTTTTATAAACTTGTTCACTACACTCAGCATGTTATAATTAATTACAAAAGCTACATATCAAAGTGTATTAATCCTACCAAATATTAGCTTTTTGCTTTAATCTGCAAAAAATGGCTTGTTTTTACCCTTTACCGTTCTTGAGCAATCTGTCATAGAATATAATACATAGTGTAATCCAAAACAAAACACTGCTCTCACCCGAAATCGAACCCCAGCCATCGTGGGACAATCACTGCAACTAGACCACCAATACATGCAATAGAATGTATCCCCCAGGCGGGGTTTTTAAATGTTAAGGAAGAACGTGGCAAGTTTTGTATCAGACGAAAAGATTTTATCCACCAACTTGTCACTGCAGGTAGCTGTTGTAGCCTGTACAAGTCGACCGCTTGTGTCAAATCAGTCGGCCCTCGGGGGCCGCAAATTGACTTTACAAAAAACAAATATGTTTCAGGCCAGTTTACAATAATAATAATGCATCGGTTTTTTATAGCGCTTTTTTGGACACTCAAAGACGCTTTACATGTCATTATTCTTTCTCTCCATACACGGTGGTGATAAACTACTACTGTAGCCACAGCTGCCCTGGGGCACACTGACAGAAGCGAGGCAACCAGTATGTGCCATAGGCCCCTCCGACCCCCACCAAACATTCACACACACACCAGACTCATTCTAGGCAATGGGGGTGAAGTGTCTTGCCTAAGGACACAACAGCAGTTTGGCACTTTACAGCCGCACCCGCCCCACTGTGGCTGGTGTTCCCAGAGGTTAAGTGTCTTGCCAAGGACACAACAACAGAAGACAGTGGGAGTGGATGGTGAAAGTCGGGCTCAAACACACGACCCTCTGGCTCAAAGGCCAATGCTCTACCAACTGAGCTACTGTCGCCTACATTATGATTTTGATTATGCTCTATGGTTTTATGGATGGATTGCGTGCATTAGGTTGATAGCATATGACCACCTCCAGCCCACTAGGCTGTTTTTATCTGGTCTGTATCCATAAGGGTCACACTCAATTTAAAGTTGAAATTAAAGATATTTTGATATTGAATGTAGCAGAAGTAAAAGTATGAAGGAAGGACCATGGGAGGACATGGAAGGACATGGAAGGATAAGTACAATAATAATAATAATAATAATAATAATAATAATCACAATCATAATACATACGTAATACACAAATAAATACAATACAATAATAATGACTATCATAACTATTGTCAATAGATTATCCTAAATATCATAGATCATAAACGAAATAGTAGTAGTTGTTCGTAGTAGTAGGATCGTTGGATTTGTTTTTATTTCGGACGCAGCCATCCTGTGCTTAGCGGAAGTGCGTTTGTTGTTCTTCCTGTTGTCTCCTGTCACAGCCTCGCGAAGCTTCAGTGAAGCCTTGGGACTTGGGCTGCATGTCTCCACTGTTTCCCCCGTGAACCGTGCTTTGCCCCCGCCGAATGAAGGTAAGCCACTGCCCGGGACAAAGCTGTTCCTCCCCGGCCTATGTCTGTGCTCTACTCAGACATTTTACCGACAAATAGCTGTGTTTCGACCCTGGCACAGCCCGTCCGAAGCCGCTGCAGTCTCGATTTAAAGGCATGTACATTTGCAGCAATACTGGTGAAATGTGAAAGTGGATTTGATGAGTCAATCTGCACATGTCTCCAACGCAAACTCAACACGGTGTCATTTAGGATTTGGGATAACATCCTCTCAAGTTTTTTCTACTTTTAGAAATGTTGTTAAAGTTTATAATGTTACTTCCTGATCACATACATATGGTGGTCGTGTACTGAGAAATCAAAAAGCAAACATGGAACAAAGTCCATCATCCTCATCATTTGCACAATAGTTTTGCATTGGGGTGTAGACTAGTTTAGAATAATCTTTCATTACCCTGAAATGTGTTATGTATGTTATTGAGAAAATAACTTTTAGAACTGTGTAAGTGACTTGTAACTTTGAGTGCCCTTATGGGCCCGAAAAAATCTGTGTTTCCAAAAGTGTATCAATGAATCACTGCTTATCAGTCAATTAATTGCAATTGTAATTACAGACTAGTGTCTACTAATTCCATTATCAAATAAACTACTGGTGACAAGAACATGAAAATGTATCTATATTATATTACTATACTTGCATATAAGATTGTTTATGAATGTAATTATACTAATGCAACTGGCTTGTGTTATAAGCTTGAAACAAGCAAATAAACGAATCTAAAATTAAACCACTCCTCCATATTGACTAAAGTTTTGTATTTTAAACTATTACTACGTTACAGCCCTATAAACTTTATAGAGCTTCATTTTGGTTTTAGATAGGGCAAGGGTTCTCACAGTTGATAAAAGTTTAGGTTCCCAGTCCTACTTGATCTCTGGTTGCAAAGGCACATTCCCAGGTTCTTCCAACTGAATTCTGGTTCAATTGAGGTTAATCCATCTATGGTAGCTGTGAAAACACCAACACGCTGGTACCTCTATTGAAACAATACTGTGACGTCTTGCAGAATTTTGGCCCAACATGTCTTCATAAAACATGCTTGCAATCTATTTTGCAAAGTAAAAATATAATGGCTTACTCGACTTCAGCCCAAAGCAAAATAATTGTAATCAACCATATACAGTATGTCATTTTTGCAATTCCCCATTATCAATCCCAATTCCAACTATTATTATTACTTTAAATGAACATATATGTATACATTGAGCAATATTTCAAACAAAACACAAAACTTTTCACTGATTGAAGAGGCAAATAATGAAAAACCCAGTTTACTGCCGCCTGCCCATAGTTCTTTTGCCATGTCCCAAAGCACAGACAAGAGTTAAAAATAGTCCGGTCCAGGGCTAGGTCTGTGGATAGTAGTGTGTTGCGTAAAATGTCACTCCCAGTCGCCACTATGTTTGGACACTGCCAGCTGTCTGGGCTCGCACATGTGCAGTCCGTGGAAATATGCATTCCTACACTTTTCAAATCTTTTCTATGCTTCTTTGTTCTATTCTTTCAAGTCAGCAGCAGCAGGAGTAGTGGACAAAAAAGCAAATGTCCTTAAATCCCTTTGCCTTCTTTGCGGATTACTTTGTAATAAAATTGCATTACTATATTTTTGAGGAAGTAGTTTTTTTGGATCTGAACATTTTCAGAGTGGATGGAGAAGCTATTGTAGTAGTATGTATAAGTAGCAGCTGTAGTAGTCAAAAGGTGTCCTTTGTACTACTTCTAGGAACAGTTTAGGAGGTTGTCGGCCATAATGCATCACCATTTTAGCATATTTTATGTCTGCATGGATTAGTTACCGGTCTTTGCAAAGTGAATACAATACTTCTAGTCTAGGGAGTTCTAGTTGTGTATTTGCATGCATATTCTTTTAAACCTTGTGTGTGGACTATGTAGTGGTGGTAAACTAACCCTAATGTATAAGTATGTATTAGTTATATGTTTAGTTTTTTTTTCAGCACTACTTATTTTAGTTTTATTATTATTATTTCTTTTTTCTTTCTTAAATTTAATGATAAAACTACTTAGTCAAACAGACCAGTAAAACTATTGATGCAAAACTGAGTGCAGTAATGGCTTTAGAATTTAAAATTTGTTCAATTTAGTTACAATCCCCCCTCCCCAATATTAAAGGCATTTATTTTATTTTATTGTTGCTTTCACAGAATACCAGTAATGCCAAAGGAAAAATATGAGCCTCCGGACCCGCGCAGGTGCTACTCCATCATGGCGGCTGATGAGGTGGCCAGCGGCAAGAAGTCCCAGTGGGCGGAGCTGGAGATCTCCGGTAAGTTTCTCTCCTCCTTTAATTGAAATTTCTATATTATTATTATGATCCTTCACTAAATATTGTTGTTGGTGTATTTTCTTCTACATTCCTGCCATTGTTTTTATTTTATGATCAAGTTTAGGCTGTAGAGAATTGATTAAGTCAATTCTAAAGTTTGTTTTTTCAACACGGGTCTTTTGTGTAAATGGAGCAATCAAAGGATGACATTTCTGGGATTTTGTTTCTACAGATTTTGTTTCTACAAATTTAGTGTCTACGACTTTTTTTCTTAATCACAAAGAAAACCTAAAAGCTTAAAACTTTAAAAGCTTTAATAGAGAAATGTATCTAATATTCCTCAGTCTTAAACAGTTGGATTCTATCAGTAGTTTAAACATACTGGTACATGTATTTTGGATTCTGTCAGAATCTAAAGTTGTGACAGAAGAATATTTAGATTTAGAAAAAGAGAGGACCTTCTTCACTCTGCTAACAGCTCTTGCAGGCCTAAATGTATGCAAAAGATTACACAACCTTGTTTTCTAAGAAGATGGCATGCTGTGGTCTTTTTCACAAATGTTACTCTCTGCTGGGATGAACAAAATGCATTATTTATTAAACAAAAAAACTTTGAAAAGGGGACACAAAGTAACACAACTTTATTCAAACATTGCAACTGTCCATTCACTTAAAGCCAAAAGTTGTTTCTAATCTTCCTCCTCTTCTTTGTTGTGGCTCAGGTCGCGTGCGCAGCCTGAGCAGTTCTCTGTGGACGTTCACCCACCTTACGGCGCTCCACATACAGGACAACAACCTGAGCCGCCTGCCTCCCGACATCGCCCGCCTGCCCCACCTCGTCTACCTGAACCTGTCCTCAAACAAGCTGCGCAGTCTGCCCGCCGAGATGGGCAACATGGTCTCTCTCAGGTACAGTTCATCCCACCACAAGAATCAACACATTGCATACAAATTAGTTGAAATCAGGAGATCTTAAAGTTTGATAGTTATACAAATCAGATAAAAGGTAAATCAAATTTGGAAAGGCAGGTTTGGTCTTCATTTAAAGCTGTTTGCATACATAATACATTTGAGAGCAAATCACATCACAATACACTCTCATCGAGGCCACAGCGGCTCAGTTGATAGAGCATTAGAGCATGGATAAACTACTACTACAGTAGTAGTTTATCTACTACTGTAGTACTGTAGTCTACTACTACAGTAGTAGTTACTACTACAGTAGTAGTTTATCACCACTGTGAATGGAGTGAATGTGAAGCGTCTTTGACTCCATATAAAAAAAAAAACATTATATTTTATATACTTACAAGAAAGAGCCTTGAGAAAGAACCTTGAGACTATTTGATGCTTTGAGCTAAGAGCTGATTGGCTGAGTGAGGTGGGAGGTTGGAAGATGTGAGGCCAAGAGTGCATGTAAAAAGAAACATGTTCTTCAATGTTTCTTCTTTTATGTTTTGTAAAGCAAACTTTTTTGTCCAAGTTTGATGTAATATTTTTATTATTAATATTATCATAGTTATTTTTTGCATACAACACAATACAATACAATTTATTCTTGTATAGCCCTAGGTCACAACAGAAGTCATCTCAGAGGACTTAACAAAACCATTGAAATCACCAACACAGGTCAGAGAATCAACAGTTAAAACACATGAAGAATATAAAGCACACACAGAAGAAAATGTCCATACATGTTGTAGAATGCTAAAGTGTCCTGATCATCACCAATCCTTTCTGTTGGACACTAACTGTCCAACAAGACCCTCCTGCATCGACAAGGAAAAACTCTTAAAAAACCCAGTGGGAAAAAGTGAGAAACCTTGGGGAGCACTAGGGAAACCCACAGGGAGGGAGACCCATATGAGAAAGGGATCCGCTCCTCCGGACGGACAGGCTAATGATCTAGGACCTAAGCTAGCTACAGAACGTGGACCAGTGGCCGCTGAACGTGGACAGGTCTGGTGCAGGACCGAAGCACTCCCAGGCGGGTCGGGCGGGGAGCTGGAAGCTCTTCAAAGAGGCTTTAGGGCACGCTGCCAATAAAGCGTTACAGTAGTCGAGCCTTGAGGTGACAAACGCGTGAATGAGTTTTTCCGCGTCACTTTTAGGAAGGAAATTCCTAATTTTAGCGATGTTCCGTAAGTGGAAGTACGCCGTTTTAGTTGCTTGGCTTATATAAGCCTTGAAGGAGAGTTCTTGGTCAAAAATGACTCCAAGATTCCTCACAGTGTTACTGGGTATTATACTGACATTATCGAGAGTAATTATCTGGTTAGTGAGGGTGTCACGCAGGCGCTTCGGACCGAGTAGGATCACTTCTGTCTTCTCCGGGTTGAGAAGTAGGAAGTTAAGAGTCATCCACATTTTAAGGTCCTTTATGCAGGCACTGAGCTTTTCTAGCTGATCTGTCTGATTAGGCTTCATCGACAGATAAAGCTGTCTGTCATCTGCGTAGCAGTGGAAATTAATTCCATGCTTTTTAATAATGTTTCCCAATGGCAGCATGTAGAGAGTAAAAAGAATCGGTCCGAGTACCGAACCCTGCGGCACACCGAATTCTACTCCAGAATAAGGTGACGAGTTCTGATTTACGTTGACGAAGTGATACCGATCTGATAAATAGGATTTAAACCAGCCAAGGGCTGTTCCTCTAAGACCTATATCACATTCTAGCCTCTGCAGTAGAATGCTGTGGTCTATTGTGTCAAATGCAGCACTAAGGTCCAGTAGGACCAGCACTGACACTTGTCCATTATCAGCAGCTAGTAGTAAGTCATTCGTGACTTTGACTAGTGCCGTTTCAGTGCTATGATGAGCTCTGAATCCTGATTGAAAGACTTCAAACATATTATTTTCCTGCAGGTGGCAGCGAAGCTGCTCAGCTATAAGTTTTTCCAGGATTTTAGATATAAAAGTGAGGTTTGAGATCGGTCTGTAGTTTATTATTTATTAGTTTATTTATTAGTATTTCTGGGTCCAGGTTTGTTTTCTTCAGAAGGGGTTTGATTACCGCGGTTTTAAAAGCTTGTGGGACATAGCCACATTGTATGGATGCGTTTATTATATTTACGATAGGCTCAATTATCAAAGGAAGTATGTCTTTGAAGAGCCATGTCGGGACTGCGTCTAACATGCAAGTTGAGGCTTTTGAGGATGTGACCACAGAGATCACCTCTGCTTGGCTCACAGCCATGAATTTATCGAGGCCCACTGAAGAGTCTAAGTGGGAAGTCACGTATGCCGCTTCAACCTGTCCACTACCAACAGCAGGAGTAACCTCCTCCAGTTTGTCACGGATGGATGTAATTTTATTATTAAAGAAGTGGAGAAAGTCGACACTGCTCAGTGAGCTTGGAATTTTAGGCTCGATAGCGCTATGGCAGTTTGTGAGTTTAGCGACGGTGCTAAACAAAAATCTACTGTTATTTTTATTCGCTTCTATTAAAGTTGAATAGTATTGAGTTCGAGCCCTGCGGGCATTCTTATAGTTTCGGAAACCTGCTTTCCACTCCCTGTGGACAGGCTCCGAGTGGGAGTGGCGATATAGCCTCTCCAATTTTCTGACGTCCTGTTTTAAAGTGTGGAGTTGAACACTGTACCAGGGCGACGATGATCTAATCCTAATAGTTTTCTGTTTTAAAGGAGCTGCTGCATTTAATGCAGATTTGAAAGACTCCATAGTGTTGCCCACCGTTTGGTCAATGACTGAGGGACTGCAGCAGCTGTGAACAGGTTCACCTGAAGCAGTATTCAACATAGGCTGTATTAGTTCTTTGAACCTTGTGATAGATTTATCATTTAAGGTTCTTTTCATTATAGTTTTATCATGCGGGACAGGAAAGTCCTCCAAACCGAGATCAAACGTGATCAAGAAATGGTCAGACAGCAACGAGCTTTGACGCTGGATATCAACATTGGAGACATCACAGCCGTAGGTCAGGACAAGGTCCAAGGTGTGGTTATGAATGTGAGTAGGTTCCTCGACATTCTGAGTAAAACCAACACCATCTAGTACAGCGCTGAAAGCTTTGTTTAAGCTGTCAGTGCTGTCGTCCACATGTATATTGAAGTCTCCAGTTATAACTATGTTTTCCCATTCCAAAACTAGGTTTGAAATGAAGTCAGAGAATTCTGTTAGGAACTCGCTGTAAGGACCAGGAGGTCGGTATAAAACTATAAATAGTACCGCTTTTTGTTTTCTCCACCCAGGACAGGTGATTGAAAGTGTTAAGTTTTCAAACGAGTGAAAAGCATCTGACTAGGTTCTGAGGCTAGTAACTGAGCACACACAGGCACACACACACATGCACACACAGTTTCAATCTGACTAGCTTCTGAGGCTAGTAACTGAACAGATGGGGGCTCAGAGGTTGTGGCAGAGCAGCTCTGCACCCGGGCCTCAGTTCTGCATCGTCATTTGAGCCGGGCAGAACAGTTTAGAGCCAGGGCCAAATTCTTAGCCAAAAGGGATGTACCCGCCAACGTTGGGTGGATATCATCCGAGCGGATGAGACCGGGCTTTCCCCAAAAGGCACTCCAATTGTCAACATGAACAACACCACTTCGAGGGCACCAGCCAGACAGCCAGCGGTTGAAAGCCGAGTGTCTGCTGAATGCTTCTGCACTGCCAGTGCTAGGTAGGGGCCCAGAGAAGATGACAGTGTCGGCCATTGTGCTAGCCAGCTTGCACACCGTGGCGACTTGCAGCTTCAACACCTCGGACTGTTTCCGCCGAACGTCATTACCACCCGCGTGAATAACAATTCGACGGAAACATAAAATGCATGCATTTTATGTTAGTGCAAATTTGCTTATTATTTTATGTTTGTTTGCACTAACATAAAATGCATGCATTTTATGTTAGTGCAAATTCTTTGAGGAATGTGTTCTTTGAGGAACAGGTGACTCGGATCAACATTGTTTGACTGTGTGTACATTTTTATAAACTTGTCAGCAAGTCACAGTCTGTCTGTCAACCTTTTTATTAATGTTGACCAGTTAGTTACAATGCAAATAGAATGTCATTCTACATTAAAATAGTTAATAGTTAATATATAAGTTCAGCACTAAATAACTATCTTCATGTACTTCATGTCATTAAGAATATGTAATTGTAATGTAAGATCCTCTGTGCTCTGTTTGTGCAGGGAATTGCTTTTAAACAACAATCTTTTACGGGTCCTGCCTTATGAACTTGGGAGGCTTTTCCAGCTTCAAATTCTTGGACTTAAAGGTAAAAAGGACAGAATTTCACACACACACACAATATAGACTCGTAGGGCGACATGTAGGGGACAGCACTCTTGCTTCCTGGGTTTGAATCCCGGTCGGAACATGGCCTTTCTGAGTGGAGTTTGCATGGTCTCCTCATTTCTGCGTAGGTTTCTTCCGGGTTTCCCCTACCACTAAAGGAAACATGCACAATAGTTATGAATGTAATGAGTGGGTGAATGGATGGTGTTGCTTGAGGCGTTGATGCGCCAGTGTGGGGCCAGGTCTGTAAAATCATGTGCTATATAAATGATGATCACTCACTTACTTATTTATGGCATAAGATGGATTAACATAATTACAATTGTATTCCGGAGGGCGACAGTGGCTTAATTGGTGGAGCATTGGCCTTTGGGCCTGAAGGTCGTGGGTTTGAGCCCACCGCAAGACCTACTTTACGACTCTCCCACCGATGTCTGCTGTCATTGTGTCCTTGGGCAAGACACTTAACCCCACTTTGCCTGAAGCCCCGTTGAAAGATCAAGGTTCCTGTGGACTCACCACCTGCTGGAAGATCAGTGTGTGGCTGGTGTTCTGTGTACTGGGTGCAGCTCTGACTGCCACCCCTGATCCATAAATGGATTGAGGGGGAGAAGATGGATTAATGGATAGACAATTATATTCCATTAACTGTTCCAAGTTGCAGCATTTCTTTCATTCATTTTTATTTGAATGAACATTGATTTGGTCTCAACCATATTTGCGTTGCACCAGGAAACCCTCTGTCCCAGGACATTTTAAATCTCTACCAGGAGCAGGATGGCACCAGGAAGCTGCTCAACTACATGCTGGACAACCTGGCAGGTGAGCTCCCCTGATGTGTGTCATTCATGAATATTTAAGACAAGTCCTTTTTGGAGTAAACGCAGCCACAGTCTTTTGTTCAGGTCACGGTTCACCTCACAGCGTTCCTTTGTCCACAGTTCACCCAGAGCAGCTCCCACAAAGGCCTTGGATTACGCTGAAAGATCGCGACCAAATCAACTCCACAGGTATCCCTTGCACCAGGTCCGATGCCTGTCGGTACATTGACACAATGTTTTAATTGGACTGTCAAACGATTATAATGTTTTAATTGATTAATCGCATAGTAATAGTGAGTTAAAGCTGCACTAACTGACTTTGAGACATTTTCAAACGCGAGCGATGGCCTCGCTCTCTCTGCTCGCCCTCCCCGCTTCGCCCCCCACTACCCCCTCCCCCGCAGCCGGTGCTCTGTGCTGTTGTTAGCTTCGGAGCTAGCGTCTCACAATATGGAACAATTTGGCACTTTTGAACGTGGATGGCGTGACCATAGAATGACAGAACCGGGAAGGGCAGAGAGGACGAGACTTTCTTTTGGATGGCTGTTTCTCTGTGTAAGCAGTAACGAAGACACAAAGTTTCAGGTTAGCCTGCACCGCTTGTTGTGCTAACTCAGCTGTCTGTCCTAACCAGAGACCTGGGCGGGTCATTCAGACATGCGTTAAACGCGTTAATTTTTTAAAACGCAATTAATGAAAAATGTAATTTGCGTGCGTTAATGCGATAATTTTGACAGCCCTAGTTTTAACTATCCGCCCCCACATTGAAAATAAAACAAGAAATGTGTGCTTTTATTTTTTATTTTTTACATCCTGATCATGTAGTTTCTGTGAGTGCCTTCCACTTTTTGATTTCACGTCTCATGTTTTTTATTTGCCAAAAAGCCTTCATCAAAAACTAACTTTTTTATTAATAGGATTGTATTAATGTGACAATACAATCATATTATGTACATACAAATACAGTATGTACAAATTCAAATACAGTTCAGTAAAAAGTGCAAGTTACCAACGTAGTTACAGTCCCATTTCACAATGTACAAGACAAAATATGATTAACATTTAGCAGCAGATGGAGTATGTGCAAACTATAAGGTATAAGGTTCAATAAAAAGTTACAGTACAGTATTCGCCTCGTAACTTTCTACTAACTGTTTGAAGTGATAGTCTGGAGTTAGTCAGAAAAAAGAGAGGTATAAAAATTGACCCTTCCTTTCTGATTGATCTACGACTACTTTTCTGTGCACGCGCCAGGTCAATGGTCCAAGACGTGCAAGGAGAGATTATGATTTTAAATGTTCGAATATATTAGAACATTTAATCATAACTTATTACACAGCTCCTCACAGCAGCAGTAGAATGCTCCATTGATGTGAATGTAATTTCAAAATGTTCTACCGATCATTATTTCTTGATAACGGACCTCGCAAGCCAATAATGAGCGGCTTGAGAGATTACCTTGCTTCCCATGGCAAGGTAATCTGTGTTTATAATTCAGGTGTGTACAAACTTCAGTAGTTTGAACACTTCGTCACAATGTTCTTTCAGTGCCTGTCACGAACAACTACTGTCTCTGAGAGAGAAGCTATTGGAGCGAGCCACGCTCAAAAACGCTGATGTTCAGAATTTTTTGTTCAGTATTTATGGAGTTCCAGAGCCTGGTGGAGGCTTGATTCGGAGGCTCCGTGAAACCAAACAACTGGGCATGTGCGCGGCTACTGTACAAGCACGAGCGCACAGCTCTCATGATGATTGACAGCCCTTGGCATCACTTGATTGGTTAAAGTGGACAGCATTGTGGATTTTGAGCTACGTATAGCTAAGAGAAGGGAAGGCGGGACTTACCCGTAATATTATAATTTATAAAATTACTTGTTTTTTATCAACATTTAATCCCAGGAGGTCAATTTAATACAATTCTTAACAGTGGATTTGTTATTCATTGAGAGCTCCAGACTAAAACTTTAACTATTGTGTATTCTATTACTATGGTTTATTCTCTAACCTGCTTATTACCCACCCTTAGAAAGATGTTTGTCTCTCACATTATTCTACTGTTTGGTTTCCCTCTCCGACTCTCATTTTTGGCTGTTTTTCCTCAGCGGTGTTCTCTGTCATGAGCTATAACGTCTTGTGTGATAAATATGCTACGCGTCAGCTTTACGGCTACTGTCCATCCTGGGCCCTGAGCTGGGAGTACAGGAAGAAGGGAATCATGGAGGAGATCACCCACTGTGACGCAGACATCATCAGCCTGCAGGTCAGAGGCCCTTTGTCTCTATGACCCCAGTCTGTATGTAGACCATATCAGACTGGGCCACTCTTTCCAGGATGGACCATGAGGTTACTGTAATTGCCTGACTATTCCACTATTTCTGAGTTCTTTAAACCTTGCAGCCTATACAGTTATGCGGCCAATGTATGTAATTTGGACACACCTCTATCAGCTGTGGTCTATGTTTATGTGAACAGTCCAGAGAGAGCAGGCAAGAGGAATATACATAACTTGTACTTCCTTGTATATTTGTATTTCCTTGTATATTTCCTTTATACAAGGAAATTACAATGTATTAGTTATAGCAGAGTTTATGGACCTATTGTTTTGACTCCTAGTTTTAGTCCCTCTAGGATGCACGTCTATTGTCAAAATAGATTCATAAATGAGTCCAAACATGGAAGTTTAGGTAATGTATGCTTCAATGTGTTACTTATCGAGGTCTGATCATCACGAGTCAAAAGTTTAAAAACACCTGTCATTAAATCTTGTTGTGTCCAGTTGTTGTATCCAGTTATGTGGACAAATGTACTTGCTCTTAAAAATGTTGCTGGTGCGATTAATAGTTCAGCAAGTAATATATTAATTATGTAATTCATTTAAATGGACATTAGCGAACTGGAAACATGAGTGGGAAACACAGATGACAGGATGATCCACTTAGCGAAAGCTGTCACTCACCTGCTCCAAAATGAAGCCAAGTTAACCTGCTAGATGTAATGAACTGGAGGAATGGGGCAGAAGAAAGAATATCCGAATACACGTTGTACCAGAGCGGTTAGAGAAAAATTACGTGGTGGGATTTGGTAAGGAATTCCTTCACTCCAAACTAGATCTGTCAGCTACCTTATGCACAGACATTGAACGCGCTCATCGGATTGGGAGCTTGGGAAGTCGAAACAACACTCCTAGAGTAATAATCATACGCTTCCTAAACTATCAAGTAAAGGAACAAGTGATCTTGGCGGCAGGGAAATAAAAAATAGAGTTTGGAGGACAGAAAATCTATTTCAACCAGGACTACACAGCGGATGTTCAGAAGCAAAGAAGAAGGGTTCGTGACGTCATCAAACATCTCAAGGAAAAAATATAAAGGCAATGCTGAAAGATATGGGTATATTTGTTGTATATATATATATATATATATATATATATATATATATGTTGTGTTGCCCTGTGTATGAAAGGCGCTCTACAAATAAACTTTGATTGATTGATTGATTGATATTTGTCATAGAAGAGGAAGAATCCGATGCTGAAAGGATGAGAAAACTTCTATTAAGTGACAACTGGAAATTGGTGATGTTACAGTGGATAGACAGAGAGCGTTCAAACGGAGATAACTGAAGAATCTTCTTTACATTTACTTGTAGTGGGCGACAGTAGCTCAGTTGGTAGAGCATTGGCCTTAGAGCCTGAAGGTCGTGGGTCGTGGTCGTAGGTCGTGGGGCAAGACATTTAACCCCACTTTGCCTGAAGCCCCTGCTGAATAATCAAAGCTCCTGTGGATTCACCACCTGCAGGAGGATCAGTGAGGGGCATGGTGCTCTGTGTACTGGGTGCAGCTCTGACTGCCACCCCCCCGACCCAGAAATGGATTAAGGGGAAGAAAATGTATGTATGTGCATTTTCTTGTAGGTTGTGGTCATTACAGCATCTCAAGTGTGGGGAACTTGGTTATGTACTGGACATGTGGTGAGCATGTATGTATGCTAATGTAAACAAAAGGGAAGAGCTGCCCTCTCCTGAGATACAAACTGTTTCATTAGAGCTGTGTTCTCCAACCTTTTTGAGGTTGCACAACTTGGTGACACACCACTGAAGCTGAAATTTTTTGTTTGACTATTATTCCCTTCAACAAGGTTTCTTTTAACTAATTAATATAAAACAATAAGTTAATAAGTGCATGTGCCTTTATGTTCTTAGTATTCAGAACGTGGAGCCACATAATATCGATTGTAGTTATGGTAAGAAAGACGCTGACCTGAAACCATTTCTCGTTTGTTACATTCGACCCCATGGTCCGCCTGCTTGTACAGTAGTGCAGATAGAACTAAACAGCTACAATTGCACACGCTATTTTATTTTACATGTCCAGTTTAGGACTTATGTTGTTAAACACACAACATCCAAATTTGTACATTTAATTCTTAAAAGAAAAAACATGTGTAAACGGAAAGTTTCCATTTACACATGAATGACAGTCGATTGAGGGAACAGTACATTTACATCGTTGTACTTTCTCCCGGTTTGTCCAGGAGGTGGAGACAGAGCAGTACTACACATTCTTCCTGGAGACTCTGAAGGAGCGTGGATACGATGGATATTTCTGCCCTAAGTCACGAGCCAAACTGGTGTCTGAGCAGGAGCGCAAACACGTGGATGGTTGTGCAGTGTTCTTCAAGACCGACAAGTGAGTGAGAGGGAGGTGCTGTTGCAGTTTGAAGGAGATGTGGCGAGAATGGAAGTTAATGGAACCAGCATGTACAAAATCAAGCTTTATTTACAAAATTACATGATTTTTATTAGGGGTGTAACAATGTATTGTACGTAATGCATCGCAATGCACAAATGCCACGGTTTGTCCCGTAGCAGCCTTCACGAGTCATATTTCATATTCACCTATATCTGTGCACTGGGAAAACTAAAGTAAAACACTTCCTAAAGGTTCGCTCTGCGCTCCATGTGTCGAAAGTATCAAATCACTTGTCTGTCGTCTCCTCTTGGGGTTATAACTGCCTCAACCTCCTTTGACCATGTATGTCAGAAACATGTTTCTCTGTAAAAAAAAAAAAAAAAACTCCCCCCAGCCTCCGCTGTGCTGCGAGGGAGTGGTGGAGGTGCCATCAGCAAACACAACTTGCGCACGCTGGCACACGCACTTGGTGCACAACGAGTGCGCACAAAGCAGATGGTAATAAACAACAGTTAGTATTCCCATGTGAGTGAAGACCAATTTACAAAACTACAGCAGAGGATATGAACACACATGAGAGCCTTTGTGAAATAAAGATAACATAAATGCCTTATAGATATGAAATATGTTGCTGAATTAAACATACATTATAATTAATAGAATGTTATAAATGGGCATTTCATCACCAAAATGAGAAACATTTAATGTTAATTATTTTACCTACAGCAGGCAATGCAATGTGAAACGTGGGTCCTGTGGATCAGACCTTAAAGTGAGATTCATGAATCGTACCGCAATATACTTTACTGCTCAGGATTGGCTATTGAGGCCACGGTTTCTGGGTGTCGTGTAATCTTGTATTTGTCCATTCAAAATGTAAAATATATAGTTATAAATTGTTAATAACTTTATAATGGTCCTAATTTCCCATGATAAAACTCAGAAGCGATACCATTTTAATGATAACATGTTCATGTCAATCCCGGTCTTTCAGGTTCACGATGGTACAGAAACATACAGTGGAGTTTAACCAGGTTGCAATGGCAAACTCTGAAGGCTCCGAGGTCATGCTGAACCGGGTTATGACCAAAGACAACATTGGAGTAGCAGTGCTGCTGGAGGTCAAGAAGGATGTTTTCTCTGCAGGTGTGTGCTCTAGAGCAGTGCCTCCCACTGCCTCCCAACCTTGCCCTGTGTCCCACCGATCCCTGTTTCAAAGCAGACTGTCGAGTCTTGATAGATTTGCAGTTGTCCCATATTCTTTCCAATATTATGGATAAAACAGTGCTCTGTGAGATTTTCAAAGCTTTGGAAATGTTTGTATGACCAAATCATGCTTTAAACTTCTCCACTTCATCCCTTATCTCTGGTTCTTTTCACTTTATTTCCATGAGACCCTCACAGAACAGCTGAACGCTCTATGATCACTTTTCACTTTTCACTGTTTTTGTTTTGTTTTTTAATAACAATCACCTATAATTTTTCTTTCACTTCAGTGACTGTTATGTTTGTTTTCATGCCATATATTAACACTTTAATATATACTTCTAATCATAGTCATTATGGATTTATTTATGTATGTTTATTTTAATTTGACTTTACTTAATATATGACAATGACTAGAAAAATAGAAATAGAAAATAGGATCGATAATTTAAATTATAAATGACATTGTAGGATAATAGGACTTCAGACTAACCATGATTAAATATCCCAAATTGGCATTATAGGAAAGGAAAAATAGAACAATTCCAATGTTTACTTTTATAACTAGTAAGTAATCTATATTTATGTTGTTAACATTTTCACAGGCATACATCTCAAATGCCTTTACAATGTTCATTCACGGCATCTAGAAGTCTTCAGGCACAGTTTTTCGAGGTTTATTGGGTTTAAGTGAAAACCTCGGAGATATGAATCAACTGTTAGACTACCGTAGTTAACTCTTTGGGAATGTATTACTTGTTATTAGCCAACCACAAAAAAATATTTCTTAGTGCTCGCCCCTGACTCCAAAATGACTTTTGCCTCCAGGCCTGAAGCCGTCAACGGAGCGGCAGTTGATCCTGGTGGCCAACGCGCACATGCACTGGGACCCCGAATTCTCTGACGTCAAGCTCATCCAGACCATGATGTTTCTGTCTGAATTAAAGAGCATCCGGGAGCGGGCCTCTGTGACTTCTGAGGCTGGCTCCCCCCCAGACCCCTCCGCCATCCCCATTGTGCTCTGTGCTGACCTCAACTCACTGCCCGACTCAGGTACTACACAAAGGGGAGTAGTGGCAGCTCCTTGTGGTCTCATTCATTGCTTTTCTCTCCCGAAACTTGGAGGTAAACAAGAACACAAGTGTAACATCTTAATCTTGAAGTCTATAATACGTAGATTATGTTCCACTTTGATAAATACAATATTTGTTGGACATAGATTGCAACTACAGGAAGATGAAATGATCTTCCTAAGGTATGGAGTTACAGATGAGATATTACCATAAGTAGTAGTAGTAAGTAGTAATCTTTATTTATATACCGCCTTTTCACTGCACATTGGAGTCTCAAAGCGGTTTACAATTGTGATTTTTTTGGGAGCGGGGGTGCCAGTACAGGAGGCACATGCCAGACCTATTGTACATATTTTTAGTGGTAGGGGAAACCGGAGCACCCGGAGGAAACCTACGCAGACACGGGGAGAACATGCAAACTCCACTCAGAAAGGCCCTGGTCCAACCGGGATTTGAACCCAGGACCTTCTTGCTGAGAGGCGAGAGTGCCATCCACTCAGCCACCGTGCCGCCCATATTTACTTTTTTCAAGTTTATCTTTAAATGTACATGCAGTGATTATAGCTGAGACCTTGTTTCACTTGATAAGGTGATGACTTGTTCACATTCATATTTAGGAAAGACCAGATGATTCAAGCTTCATGAATACCCAGACACGTCTTGTCTTGTGTCAACAATGAGCAGCCATTTTGACTTTCACCTGAAAGTGAAAATGGTCTCCTTACAAAGCAGGAGATATCTTTAAGATGACGGCATACTGTTTGCAGCCTGTCAAAGTCTAAAAGCAGAGCTTCAAGTGACAAGATAAATATCCGAGATGATAAGAAAGATTTCTAGAAAAACGACCTCCTAGATCTCTTGATCTGGCTGACACATGCGGTACATTGTTTATCTTTAAATGGCCTACAAGTTCAGAAAAATACACTATTGATTATGTTGTCATAATTATCACCATTAATTGTACCATTGACAATACAAATATTGTGGTATCATAAAACATTGAAAGTTTTAGTTTTATCCTTTTTTTCCACTGACAACTTTTGAACTGGGCTATACTTGTCACAACTTAAAAACCGGTCTTACCTCAGTAAATACTTTTTATCTTTTCCCCAACCCGCTATGGAATTGTCATCTGTAATTTTGTTACACAATTAACTCATTGCCTGCCAGCCTATTTCAGAACAGGTACTCCCATATTGCCAGCCGTTTCTGATGATTTTTACTGATTTTTCAAGACCCACAGAATATTGTGTACTATGAATATCTGAAATCAATCAATCAATTCTAAAAGAATGGACTGTCTATTTTCATCAGCAAAAAGAATTTTGTTTCTAACTTGTGTCGTTCCCTTGTAATCCCCAGTTGAGTAGAGGGAAGTTTTACTGAAATCATCAGAAAGCTGAGAACAAAAGAGGCACAACATGTGCATCTGGCTGTTTTTAAACCATTCAGAGATAAATGCTGCCACCTGCTGGCTAGATAAATATGGTCTCAAGCTTATCCCCAAACATATTAGATACAATAGACGTCTGGGAACGCAAAAATAGCGGCAATTGACGTGTTGCTATTTGGTTTGACGTGTTAACACTTCAATGGCGGTCAATGAGTTAAAGACAAATGTCAGCATGTACAAATAAAGTAAATGACTCGATTCCAGAGGTTCTAAGCTTTACAATAAGGTATAACATGTCTATTTTGGTAGAGCAGAAGTCGGCTGGATGACATAGTGAACTTGTATTTATGATCTCAATGGTACTTGAAGGCAAAGGGCCACATAACATGAAGATGAAGGCCGCAATTGGCCCACAGGCCTGAGTTTGGACATGTCTCATTTAGAGCCAACTATTTGACCTTCTGGCTCTCGCTTTCTGGGGCAGGTGTGGTGGAATACCTGAGTGATGGAGGAGTCGCCGATAACCACAAAGACTTCAAAGAGCTGCGCTACAGTGATTGTTTGACCAACTTCAACTGCAACGGCACTGGAGGCGACGGCAGCATCACTCACAGCTTCCAGCTGAAGAGTGCCTACGAGAGCCTCATGCCCTTCACCAACTATACTTACGACTTCAAGGTATTTTTCTGTGATGGGTGTCCACGATTACAGGACAGGTTACAGCCAACATGTAGGAAGGGAATGAATACTGCAATGTAAATATGGCAAAGCTGGGGCATCTCCAGTGGGTGCGGGTCCCGGCTCAAAAGTGGCCAAAATGACATGCGCTGACATGCTTGCAATACCACCCCGGGCCGATGGGGGTGGACCCGGAATAAGATTTACCCTATGCTAACATATAGCATTACCTGAACTCTCGAAAACGTCTTTTACAGGGTGGTCCAAAAGTTGGCTCTTGGCTCAAAGCTCCGTTCCACATGTGTGTCAATGCTGAGGGGGGTGAATTTTTTTGGACCAGTCTAGTTTACGCGATGTGAATTTTTGAAGTCACTCGTTTAAATGAATGGTGCTTTTTCACATTTTCCAGCCCCTGCGGCCATTTTCTATTTTTGAAGGGAAATGGAAAATCGATAAAAGGCTATTTTGCATTTTCAGGCACACAGCAATATACAAAAAAGACCATTTTGGTTTTTTCATTGCTTATAAGACACACATATATATATATATATATATATATATATAATTATAATATTCAGCGTCAATCGATTACCCGGAAGTGAAGCAAGTTTGTTTACTTGCATGGGATTAGAATTACCTGTGGACCCCTGAAAATTTGTGATAATTGTGGAGGGCGTCTGAGATTTTGCAGTGCATTCACACAGGATAAGCAATATCTGTAAAATACTATTTTCACTGACATCTCACATAACCACCGCACGTGCGCGGGTCTCCCCGCTCCACGCAGCCCAGAGAGTCGCGTCTGACCCAGTGGGGGAGGGTCCCAGCTCAAAAGTGGCCAAAATGACGTGCGCTGACATGCTTGCAATACCACCCCGGGCCGATGGGGGTGGACCCTGAAGTAGAATTAGCCAATGCTAACATATAGCATTACCTGACCTCTCGAAAACGTCTGTACAGGGTGGTCCAAAAGTTGGCTCTTGGCCCAAAGCTCCGTTCCACATGTGTGTCAATGCTGAGGGGGGTGGATTTTTTTGGTCCACTTTAGTTTACTTGCTGTGAATTTTTTAAGTCTCTCGTTCAAATGAATGGAGTTGCGCCGGCTGACGCATGCGCAGATGCGTTTTTTCACAATTTTCTTGTGGGCGGGACCACTCGCGGCCATTTTGGAGTACTCCAGTAGAGCACATTTTTTGGCCCATTAGTTAGAACGGCAGAGATAGGCGTGACTCTGTCCATTAATATATACAGTCTATGGTCTGACCACAGCAGCCACAGAGAGGACAAACATGAGGACAAACTGCTCTACACTTCTCTGGCCTGTACTGTCTGTAATGATTAATAATAGTTTGTATGGACTACTCGTGAACGCACCACATACTCTGCTAAGATACGTGCGAGCTGACAAATGGTAACGGCTGCATCAACCATAGACTGTATATATTCAACAAGTCTGTACTGTAATACCACAGAGTGCAAAGTAAACGTACAAACACAACCCATCGGTCTGATCATTCAGCAGTGTTGGGCACGTTACTTTGAAAAAGTAATTAGTTATAGTTACTAGTTACTTCTCCCAAAAAGTAACTGAGTTACTAACGGAGTTACTCCACTATATTATATATATATAATATACTATATATACTATATATATATATATTGCGTTACTTTTTCGTTTTGTTCTGGAACATGATGTGCACTCGACGTGCGCATTTTTACCTTTAACCTCAGTGAGTCTGAAATATTGCCAATATTTCCATCTAGAAAAGGCTGTTTTGCTGCTGAAGTCCTGTTCACTCTTCATCTCTCTCTGTGCTGTAAGCACTAAACACCAACACCCGCCACTGTGAATGTGGAAACACCGTTGAAGCACTGACTTCAGCCCAATCAGATGAACATATATATCATATACATCAACTGGACCAAGAGAGCGGCTTATTCACAGTTTGTTTGGCTGCAGCAGAATATGTTTCATGCCCGCATTGTTTGTTCATACAAAACGCAAAACTATGAGTTATGGGTCTTACCTTATAAATGACCTGCACAGTCCACTTCAGTTCAGACCAGTTCCGTGTTTAAGTCCAGATAATAGTTTGAGCGTAGATATGTAATCCTCCATTTGGAAATGAGTCCAATGAGTTTTAAAAAGTAAAACAAAACGCGTGTGTCCTCCATAAACTCCTGTTTTGCTAGCGGCAGCCGGGTGCATCCAATTTCTAAAACCAACCGTCTTACACTTCACCTCTATTTCTTATCATTCCTATAGTCATTGAAAAATTACCCTAAGTGCATTTTAAATTATCTTAAAATGTGTTACATGTATGTTAGCCAAACCTGTTGCTGCCCTAAGCAGATAAACCTGGAAGAGAGCTTTTCGATGGAATTGTATGCAGCCGACTTCTGCGCTCATATGCGCTCCTCTGAGGCTGGCCTCACGGTGATACAAGCCGTGGTTGAGCGCGATTAAGACCCATATTTGTTTCAAAAACACAATTTATGAGCCATCCTCTCAACTGTAGACATGTAGATTGTAAAGGAAATATGTTTTACATCAGCCAATAATTGCTGAGAGGTTTTCTCATCCTTCTCTCGAGTCGTATGACCAAGTAAAAAGAGAAGTTCATTGTACGACTTGAGTAACGCGCAGTAACGGGATGTCGGAAATGATAACGCGTTATAGTTACAGTCAAAGTAACTAGTTAGATTACTCGTTACTGAAAAAAACGCCGTTACTAGTAACGCCGTTATTCCCATCACTGTCATTCAGTGTCCGTGAACACATTACACTGTCCACTGTCAGACAGCAGCAGCCGCGACTACGCAGATGTGCACACAGCCGCGACGCGACTCCTCTGCTCATTGACAAAAACAACGCAGAAAGCAAAGAGAAAACGGCGATAGCGATCACAATCACTGACATGTAGATTGACTTCTAGACATGTAGAAAAAAGGTTAATTATTGCATTTTCTAGTTCCCAAATCTGGTTTTTATAATATATATATATATATATGTCGTATAAGAAATGAAAAAAACAAAATGATAATTTTTGTATATTGCTGTGTGCATGAAAATGCAAAATAGCCTTTTTTTCGATTTTCCATTTCCCTACAAAAATAGAAAATGTATGGAACGCAAAAGTACACGGACCATATATGGGTCCGTGTATTTTTCGTTCAATGGTTTTTTCAAATGATCATATTTATAATTGGCTTGAATTTTCATTTTTCATTTTGATGAGGAAAAGGAAAAAGGAAAAATTGAATAATGCTTTCAGGCCGCTCAACTGTATTTTCCCGACAGAATCTTATTGCGGAGCCTTTATATTAGACAAGAGACAATACTGACAAGTCATGGATGAACGGTTGTAAATATGCAATTGTGTGCTCTTTATACTGCTCTTTTATTCTTAACATATCTACGGATCATGTGTGTGTATGAGTTTACTTACAGTTTAAATAAAAATAAATAAATATTGTCTGGGTGTAATGTCTCCCTTCGAAGTCTACTAAATGGAGGTAATACGTTTTCATAAGGTTTAACATAACTAAACTAAACACATAAATCCGTTACAAGAATACAAATGAGCAATATTATTCAATTTTCTGTTTTTTCATTTTTTGCATCGGAACGAAAAATCAAATATCAAGCCAATTTTTAGTTTTTCCTAAAAATTCAAGTCATTTTTAGATATTTCATGTTTGATTTTAATTTGAAAAAACCATTGAACAAAAAATGCACGGATCCATATGTACTGTGTTTGTTTATTTTAACAACAATAAATCTATATAAAATGGCATTAACATTCTGTCTTTCTGTAGTAGACACAGACCAAAACTATTTCTTGTTACAGGGATGAGAATGGGACATTTCAAAACAGTCTGAAATGCAGAATGTCATTAAATCTGTTTTAGACAGTGTATGGTCTTGGATCACGTTACAGCGGCGCCATTCGGCGTGTTGTTGTCAAAGCGGCTCACAGCCTCTGGAGGTGGGAACCGCTGTCCAGAGAGGCCGCAGCGTTCTGACCTGGGGAAGCTGCGGCCGCTCTGGAGAGTGGTTCCCACCTCCAGCGAAGGATGCAGAATCACGTTCGAGTACATACAGCAAACCACAGCAAGTGTGCCGTGGTCACGCGCATATTATTTTGTTTAACTTTAATTCCCAGAGGGCCAACCTGCTCTGTCGCCATATCAATGCAATATTTTTTTTAACGAGATTAATGAAAACATTGTATTAACATGCATTAGCACGATAATTTTGACAGCCCTAATTTTAACATGTTCCTGTCTTTCCTGTGGTGAAAAGCTGACATAATTTTTCCCTGATGTTATTTCAACACGGGTCAGAAACCAAGGTCTGCAGTATGAATATGCCCATCTAGAGCCTTTGTCCCTCTCCTCTCGTAGGGGGTGATTGACTACATCTTCATGTCGCGGCCGCTGCTCTCGGTGCTGGGACTGCTGGGCCCTCTGGACTCTCAGTGGCTTCTGGACAATAACATCATGGGCTGCCCTCACCCACACATCCCCTCTGACCACTTCTGCCTGATGGCCCAGCTTGAACTACGGCGCCCCCTGCCTTCCTCCAGCCTCAACGGTATCCACACGCACAGGTAGTGAGCTGTGACCACTGCCAACCAGCCCCCAATGGGACTCTCCTCACAATCCATCCAGTAATACATCAGGGTTGTGTCTGAAAACAAGCGTTTGGTCTTACAGGCCTTCTACCTGATTTTTGTTCTTTTAACAATTTCCTCAGTGCAGTTGACCCCACTAGACTAAACTTGGTACAATAAAGTACTAGACTAACCTTGGTACAATAAAGTCGATAAGTGCTTGTAGCTCCTCACTATTTTATTTTTATTTTTTGTATATTTTGACAAATTATTAGCCAAGGCAGAAAGCATAAAAATTCTTGTCTTATCTAAAATTGGATAGGATTTATGAGCAATAAAACTATGCTGCTGTGCTTGAGATAAAACTGAACTGGCATGTTCATTAGCAAATATTATTTTAAAACCATCAAAATATAGACGTATCAAGTAAAATACTGTTTAATGATGTAAATTAATAATTGGTGTAAAGTGTAAAGCGTAAAGCCCAATTGCCTGTGAGCAGAAATTTAGATAAAGGTAGCTTACTCACTTACTCACTATTGCAATGTAAAAGCAGATAGAACAATAGATCACTGTCTGCTTTCTGCATTTACTTATAGAATTGTTTTATTCTCAGATGAATAAGGGTGCTGCTAATGTGGTATGCTCTTTGCTGGCTTCTAAACTCATCGAGGAAAGTCAAAACAAAAGAATTCAATTTGGTTTGCCATTTTCGTTTTTAAGAATTAGGTACAGAATAATAACAGTGTAACCACCAAAATCATTTGGGTTGTTGAATGCACCTTGTCTGCAATGCAAAATACCTGACTTAGAAAACTCTTTCATTGGCTAATTTTCATGCATTGTGGATTACATTATACTTGAAATGGCCCACTTCCAAATTTGCATTCATTATACCGCACATTTATTGAAAGAAAATCTTAAGTGGTGCTCATTAGCAAATAGTATTTTACATTTAGGTGCCACAAAACTAAACTAATATTTACCTAAATATTATGTGCAATATATTATTATTATCACTGATTTTAGACACAATCCTGAGACTCTGGTTGTCATTTTAAAAGACCTTTTCATGTGAACACTACTTTTTAATGAGAAATATTTCAACACAAATATATGAAAATGAGTTCCAGCAACTTCTTCATCATCAGCCTTAAAAAACAATTGTTCCGGAGGAGTGAAGTATTTGAAGTTTAGTAACCGTTAAACCAGATTTAAATTCTGTTAGAGAGAGTTCATATTTTTGAATAAAAAAATCTCCAGAGAAAACAGTCGAACCCTTGTATATATTGTGGCTTAATTCTCTGTCAGTGGATTATAATTCTAATTTGCAAACATATTTAATGCTGACAATGTTTACAAATGTGTTTACTATGCCGCCTTAATAGTCTTCTCTAAATTGGTACAAAAAAATGTAATTGTTGACATTGAGCCTGAAACCATGAAAATGCCTAAAAGTGTCTTTGCACCAGGGGAAGGTAGAACTATGGAGCCTAACTCTCACTGCAAGCAACTATTTAAATTCTGTATGTTAAGCACACAGGCTTTTTGCCCTCATCAAACAAGACTCGCAATGAGCAGACGTCCGCATCATCCTCAAACATAGACTTGTATTTCAATCAAAATACAAGGGAAGTGTTTTAGGTTGTATGGTTTTCTCTCTTGAAAAACGCTGACGTCTGCCTGTTAATGCAAGATTACACAGGTAAAGCTGATGCATGCAGTGAGGCTGGGCTCTAAATTCTAATATTGTTACATCAGATGGAATATTATATATTATTGTGTGTGCGTGCATGCGTGTGATTGTGAGTAAAGTGTGCATGTCTGTGGTTATCCTGTAAGAGGCTGCGAGATTAATCCAATAGAATTTGCAATTCGACTATGGTCCTAGTTCTACACAATAACTACTTGGCACTTGGCTTGATACATGTGACACCTAGAATGTACTGCTCCGTGATTTATGGAACAGTACATTCTAGGTGTGTACTTCCATGTCTTAAAATCTACTTTCTAATTTTAAACAAACTTAAGTAAATCTAATGGCAACGTTGTCATGAAAATCCCCAAATAGTGTACCTTCATGACTCTGTCTCCTTCCCTCTCCCTCCATCCAAAGACGTATCGTGAGTATTAACATGCATTTTATTTTACTGCTATAAATCTCTTCACTATAAACTTCCCTGACTGAAGGACAAAAATAGTTATAGAAGACAACACATTTCTAACACTAATGATAAAAGCCTAGATTACCTTCTTCCCATAAACAAAAACATGAAATATAGAAAATATTATTTCTATTTATTGTCTCCAGGAATTCTTAAGTTTATCCATGTGGCAGACCATTGCAGAGCTGGGACTGTGGCCTGCGCTGCTAAACTGTGTCTTCTTAAATTGGATTTGCTGTCAACAGATACAAGTATCTCATCAGGTTTTAAGAGGATACAATCATCGTAGGCAACCTATAAATTTTGCACATGAATCTCGGGATGGATATCGGTTATCGATGCACTGTGCAAGTCTGGGTATCCGTATCTACCAGTTTGTCCTCTGTTCATCAGATTGCTACAGATAGAATTCTATTTAAATCATGCAACATATTTACCATCAGTTACTGCCCACAATAGCGAGTCAAATACCAGATATCTGTCTACATTAATCCTCTTCAGATTATCCAGATGTTTTGCCTTAATATGAAACACTAGCTTTAAATCGTGAGCTTTACCTTTTGCTTATTTGCACATAAACTCATTGCTAATACTTCACTCCTCTCGGGCATCATAAGAAATCTTTTAAACAATTCTTGAAATTGTGTGTGGAGTGAGAGCACTATAAAAGATCGTTGCTGTTTTTTAAAAAAAGCTCATTTTCACAACATTTTGCTTCTTTTTTTTTTATCAAACTCTGGGACGTTTTGTTTCTAAACGACATGCAGTCTTTGTACGATTATTACAGTATTACACACTTTTGGAGAAAATAAATGTTGTCATTCAAAGCAACTTCTGTCTTGGGTTTTAATGTTGTAAATGCTAATAAGAACAAATATAGAAATAATACTGCTATTTAGAGAATGTAGAAGATCCGCTTTTCAATGTGAGGGCACAAGACATGTATGTAATATGCTAATATATTTTCACTCATATACTTAACTAGACTATATTTAAATACAATATTACCAAAGCACATCATCTGCGTGTGTTTGGAAAAATACATTCTCCGTGGATAGTTTAAGGATCAGAAAAAGCCTCAGGTTTATGGAAGCTTACTCAAAGGGATAGATGTTCTTTTTTGCATGTAGTTTTAATATCATTATCATTATCTATATTATCACTATTATTTGCTGTAATTTGACTAATTGCTAAAGTGGTTAAATTATGGCAGCAATGTTGGGACTCTAGTGACCCTAACCTTAAAACAAACTTTAATGTAAGTGGGAATTGGAGAGAATAAAATTACCAAACCTGACTGTGCTTTGGCGACACAGAAATAAACCAATTGCTGTGGTGAAAAGGGAAACACCATAACAGAGAATGTGACATTTGTTCATCATGAGTCAACAATACAAACGACATTGGAATGTTTTGGCTACAGCAATCTAAATACTGTCCTACAAAGATTTTTGTGTGAAATATATATATATATCTGAACGGAATTAAATAAACATCTCAATAATCATCAGCCCCATGGATCTAGCCCCCAGTAAAGAAGGTGGCGGTAAGTGCACTCTGTTGTAAAAGGGAAGGGAAAAAAAGAACCACCATGTAGGAACCTTTGACCACTACTCGTTGTTCCCCCCGGAAAAAAAGCATCGCCCACAAAACATGGCAACGAACAGCAGAGCCGTGTGGAGAGGTCAGTTGTTTCATGTAAACATTCTTTATACCTAGCTCTGTTGTTTTACCAGTCGTTAACAGCGTATACCTATAGCATAAGTTAATGTGAACGAGACATCGACAGATCGGGGTTAGATTTCGTTCGCTAATGTTTATGGAATGAATGAACTTTGGCAGCTCCATTGATATTAAAGCATCCATTTCAAACAACAGCTGATAGTTTTGAGTTAAATGATACCCGATCGCTAAGATATCTGTTTGATATGTCTCAGTGCTGTCAGGATGTCAGTGGCTCTCTGGTCACAGCGGCTCTTCCTTAGCTTCTCTCCTCACTGTCCCCTCGAGAACATTCGCAGTTGCTAGGTAAGTTTGGCTACTTTGTTTTGGGTGGGCGGCCTGAATGTTTTTTTTTTTATTGGTATTGATTAGCTGATACCTTCTGCCATGTTTTAGATTGTATTTAAATGATCTTTGTAAAGTCCTCTGTGACACTGCTGTTGTGATTTATGGCTATACAACAGAGATTCAAACAGTGATATCCTGTATTATTTTAACAGAAAATAGTACTAATGTTTTGTCTCACAATATTCTCATTCTTACTAATAATGTGCATACAGGGTAGTTTGAGTGGGAGACTCTTTGAGACGATCTGTGTGAGTGACTCAACACTTTGGGACAGAAACGTTGTAATTCTTTAAAGTTTATGGTTTCCAGTGGCAAAAAAACAAAAGAGGATTTGTGTCTAATTGGTTAATATTTAGTTTTTTTCTGGTGGCATTTGTTCCTGTGTTGGTGGGTAAAGCAGTAATTAATTAAATGTTAGTTTTTTATTCCCAGAATGATTTTTTTTCTTCTTTTAAATCTAACAAAACTAGTCTCCAATTTACTCTAAGCATCTTCAGCATTACTTCAGCACGTAAAGATCGATGCACAGGGTAGGTCCAAGAATAGCTTTTAATTGTAATGAGTTTGACAATTTACACTAGCAGTGATTATCCATCCATCCATTAATATGTGGTAAATCTTTTTACATGTCAACGCTAAAGTTTCTGACTTGGCACCACTGAGAATACCTGAAAAAGGAGTTAGAATGCTGTAATTGAACTGAATGGTTTCTATTTTAAGTGCGTTGCTTCTGGGTCGGGGGAGGAGGCAGTCAGAGCTACACCCAGTACAGAGCACCAGCCCCTCACTGATCCTCTTGCAGGTGGTGAGTCCAGGGGGATGGCTGCTCTGTCTTTGACAGCATAGCCTTGAGTTTCATTGGGGGATTCAGACAAAGTGGGGTTAAGTGTCTTACTCAAGGACACAACGGCAGCAGACATCAGTGGGAGTTGGTGGAGAAGGTCTCATGGTGGGTGCGAACCCACAACCTTCAGGCTCAGTAGCAATTCACCACTTCACAACAAAGTGAGAATCAAACAGTTCAAAACACAAAGATATTTGTCCATAAGGGGCAGATGACCAATGTCCATAAATGTTGATAAATGTTCTTAGATGTTGGTCAGAAGATAGATAAACATTTTCTTGTTTTCCTTTGGCATGGATACATTTATAATAATGCGTTGATTATATAAGATGTTGATACAAAAATACCAAATGACCCCTTTTAAAAGTCTATGTACTAGTATGCAATGCTCTTGCGTTTTTAGAACAAAAACAAAAGATAAAAAAGAGGAGGAGAAGAAGGAGGTGAAGAAGCGACCTGTGATCGACGACTCAAAACGTCACAAACCGTTTGGTAAAACGGCCTGGGCTCCGGTGGATGACGTCTACATTCGGAGATTTTACCCCCGGACCCTGGTCGGTGTGGGGGACGCGGTGGAGCTGCTCAAGGCCTACAGAGCCCTGGACTTTACCCCCAAACAGCAGCCTCTGTACATAGACCTGAAACTCGACATGAAGCTGGAGAAAAAGGTACCGTCATCAGACAATGGTTCTCACTTGATAAACAAATTTGGGCCTGTGATATTTTGCACAAAAGAATAAATATAAAAAATATAAATTATAATATATACTGTAAAAAATTATGAAATATAAGGTAATTATTGTCTCATTTGAGTACATTCTGAACAAGATTGGCTAATGGGGAAAGCCATTTAGTCTTTATTTTCTTATTCCAACATGCTCAAACTAAGATCCATTTGGCAAAATTTGAGTAATTTTTGACTTTCACCAAGTTCGGATATAGTTAGCAACATTATTTTTCTAATTAAAGGCAAAGCAAAATGTGTAATGCGGTCTTATGTTTTCCAAAGGAGGAAAGATGCATTGAACCCATTTTCTATTATTGTACAAAACTTTTCACATATTCAGACCATAGCGTTGTTTGCTGCACAGACATTGTAACTCCCAATAAAATACAAATGTTTTGCTTGCTGATGTGATCCATTCACCAGCAGCACTTTCATGTGACCGTTTGGCAGTGGCACAAACCAATAGTTTAAAATTTCCAAAAATATTTCATATTCATATATGATCTGATGGTGTCATGGAATATACCGTATAACAGACATAAGTCCAATGATGTCTCAAACGGACAAGGTAAGGTATCTTTGTAAGGTATTTTGTGTGTTTATTAAAACAACAAATATATGCTTTTGACAGAAAAAAGTGGATCCGTTTGTGAGCACAGTCCACTTGCCTCATCCTTTTAAGACCGAGATGAATAGAGTTTTGGTTTTCACAGAGGTATGTCGTGTTCATTTGTGTCTGATTATTTTTCTGATGAAGGTTTGCACTGTTTTTCATTTTGGTCAAACACTTAGAGCACCGTTTTTAAGTTTCTCAGATCTATAATATGCCTGTAATTGTGAGGTAACTATTACCTTTAATATTAAGAATGTGATCCCATAAGAGCAACAGCACAATTCTGTTTAAATGCCATTTAAAAACCGTGCTTTCTAATTTGATAATAAATTTAGATCAGTTGAATATTTTTAATTAACTTTTTTGTTGACACCTAATTTTAAGAGATTAGATTGGGATTAGAAAAATCTGAGGGTGCACGGATTGTAGAGCAGAGATCTTGCATTGATCCTTGCATTGGTCATGCAACATCAGGTGACGTCACGAGGGCCACCTCAAGCTCAGTGATGCGGAGTATAGACAGGGCTATATTCTTTAAATATAAATGGAAGCTTTACACCAATAAATCTCATGTCATTTTCTTCCCCTTTATTAATCCATTTCTGTGTCGGGGGGTGGCAATCAGAGCTGCCACCCAAGTCTCATAGCACCAGTCCCTCGCTGATCCTCCTGCAGGTGGTGCGTCCACGGGAAGATGGCTTCTCTGTCATCGACTAGATGGCCTTGGTCTTTCAGCGGGGGCTTTAATGAATCTGTCGCTGAAATTCACAGTAAGCCTTTTCTTTAAATGAAGAACACAAAAAGGCTCCAAGTAAATCTGTAAAAATGGACTTAGTGACAAAATCATTCATGATTTTCTTTACAGCTTGTTTCTCATGCACCGTGTCTAAACTCCAACGTCGGTTACTTTTATTTCAATCAGAAAGAAACTTAAGTGGCTTGTGAGCACCGCACTGATGAGTTCAGAGGTCTACCACGGTCTTCACGGCTCTCAGCAGCGTAGGCACAACGCTGTTTATTGTGGGTTTTGGAGCCCCACAATAAACAAGGGACCACTTTATTGAAAATATCTAGTTTATAGGGGCGACAGTAGCTCAGTTGGTAGAGCATTGGCCTTTGAGCCTGAAGGTTGTGGATTCGAGCCCACAAGACCTACTTCACGACTCCCACTGATGACTGCTGTTGTCGTGTCCTTGGGCAAGACACTTAACCCCACTTTGCCTGAAGCCCCCGCTGAAAGATCAAGGTTCCTGTGGACTTACCACCTGCAGCAGGATCAGTGAGGGGCTGGTGCTCTGTGTACTGGGTGCAGTTCCGACTGCCACCCCCCCAACCCAGAAATGGATAAAGGGGAAGAAAATATATGGATAGTTTTTTTTTTGAATCTTGCTAGATTTACATTTTAAATTATATAATATGCCTGTGGAAGATTCTGAGCACACGGAGACAACTAAACTGTACCATAAAATACTGATGGTGGATAATTTCACTTTTATTTCTTGTAGGACCCAGATCAAGCCAAAGTGGCTCAGGAAAACGGAGCTGCGATCGTCGGAGGGGCGGAGCTTGTTCAAAAGGTGAGTTCAAGAGCGTTCTGATTTTAATGTTGTTTTTAACTAACTTTATAACTGCACTACTGTCTGTCTCTGTCAGATTTTGGATGATGAAATTTCAGCTGATTTTTATGTTGCTGTGCCTGACATGCTGGTGAAGATGATACCGCTCAAAAACAAGCTCAGAAAGAAATTTCCCAAAAACAAAAGAGGTAACCATATTTTATATATATATATATATATATAGGACTCCTCCCAGTCCTCCCGGGACTGGGAGGAGTTCGGAGAGTCCATGGAGCATGACTATCGGTCGGCCTCGAAGAGATTCTGGCAAACCATCCGGCGCCTCAGGAGGGGGAAGCAGTTCTTTGCCAACACCATGTACGGTGCGGGTGGAGAGCTGCTGACCTCGACTGGGGATATTGTCGGGCGGTGGAAGGAATACTTTGAGGTTCTCCTCAATCCCCCCGTCACGTCCTCTGTTACAGAGGCAGAGGCTGAGGATGTTGGGGCGGATACATCCATCTCCCTGGCTGAGGTCACCAAGGTAGTTGGTAGCCTCCATGGTGGCAAGGCTCCGGGTGTGGATGAGATCCGCCCTGATTATCTAAAGTCTCTGGATGTTGTAGGACTGTCTTGGCTGACACGTCTCTGCAACATCGCGTGGCGATCGGGGGCAGTGCCAATGGAGTGGCAGACCGGGGTGGTGGTCCCTCTCTACAAGAAGGGGGACCGGAGGGTGTGTTCCAATTATCGTGGGATCACACTCCTCAGCCTCCCCGGTAAGGTCTACTCCAGGGTACTGGAGAGGAGGTTACGGCCGATGGTCGAATCTCGGATCCAGGAGGGGCAGTGTGGTTTTCGTCCCGGTCGCGGAACACTGGACCAGCTCTATACTCTCCATCGGATACTCGAGGGTTCATGGGAGTTCGCCCAACCTGTCCACATGTGCTTTGTGGATTTGGAGAAGGCGTTCGACTGTGTTCCCCGGGGTGTCCTTTGGGGGGTTCTCCGGGAGTACGGGGTCGGGGGTCCTCTGCTGAGGGCCATCCGATCCCTGTATGACCGGAGCCAGAGCTGTGTTCGCATTGCCGGCAGTAAGTCAGACCTGTTCCCGGTACATGTTGGCCTCCGACAGGGCTGCCCTTTGTCACCGGTTCTGTTCACTGTATTTATGGACAGAATATCTAGGCGCAGCCAGGGGTCGGAGGGGGTCCGGTTCGGAGACCACAGGATTTCATCTCTGCTGTTTGCGGACGATGTTGTCCTGTTGGCTCCAACGAACCAGGACCTGCAGCATGCACTGGGGCGGTTTGCAGCCGAGTGTGAAGCGGCTGGGATGAGAATCAGCACCTCCAAATCCGAGGCCATGGTGCTCGACCGGAAAAAGGTGCCTTGCCCTCTGCAGGTGGGTGGAGAGGTCCTTTCTCAAGTGGAGGAGTTCAAGTATCTCGGGGTCTTGTTCACGAGTGAGGGAAGAATGGAGCGTGAGATTGACAGGCGGATCGGTGCAGCGTGCGCAGTGATGCGGTCGCTGTATCGGACCGTTGTGGTAAAGAGGGAGCTGAGCCGAAAGGCAAAGCTCTCAATTTACCGGTCAATCTTTGTTCCCTCCCTCACCTATGGTCATGAGCTTTGGGTAATGACCGAAAGAACGAGATCGCGGATACAAGCGGCCGAAATGAGCTTCCTCCGCAGAGTGGCTGGGCGCTCCCTTAGAGATAGGGTGAGGAGCTCAGTCACACGGGAGGAGCTCGGAGTAGAGCCGCTGCTTCTCCACGTCGAGAGGAACCAGTTGAGGTGGCTCGGGCATCTGTTCCGGATGCCCCCTGGACGCCTCCCTGGGGAGGTGTTCCGGGCACGTCCCACCGGGAGGAGGCCCCGCGGAAGACCTAGGACACGCTGGAGGGACTATGTCTCTCAGCTGGCCTGGGAACGCCTTGGGGTCCTCCCGGACGAGCTGGAGGAAGTGTGCGTGGATAGGGAAGTCTGGGCGTCTCTGCTTAGACTGCTGCCCCCGCGACCCGACAACGGATAGAGCGGAAGAAAATGGATGGATGGATGGATATATATATATATATATATATATATATATATATAATGATTGCCTGTGCTTGTTCTGTACGTTTAAAGAGGAGTTTTTTATTGAAATCATAATATTTGACTTGCTGAGACAGTCTTAACGTGTTCTCTTTTTTTTTGACAGGTTCGGTTGGTATGAACATTGTCAAAATGTTGGACTTGTTCAAAACGGGACACGAGTATATGGTAGAAGACAACTGCTACGTTCGAACACAAATTGCCACGGTATGTCACAGCTCGTGAAACTGTTCAAAACGATTGTTTCTGGGCTCAGAGCACAACTGGTTTGGTACAAACAACGGCGTTCTGAAAATGCAAATGGGGCCAAATGTAAGGGTGAACAGTTTAAACAAAATATATAAGAATGAATTATGTTGGATTTCTCAATGTTCAAATCTGAGGCCTTAACCTTCCTTGCATTTCTTAACCTGCTTTTTTTGCTCAGAAGTAGATTTGCTGTAGATTTGTGTTTCTAATTACTGCTTTGGTAGAACTCTTGATCACTTTTCATTCATATTGTATTACTAGAAAGAATTCATCATCATAATCTATTTGTCATCACAATCTATATAATGATCCATAGACTGCAAGTATCATAGTAGTGACTTTAATGATTTTTTGTGTGTTAGATTCAGATTCAGATTCAGATTCAGTTTATTTGCCATTTGCAGTAAAATAAACCACATTGGAATACATTAGCAAAAGTCTCCAGTGTGCACAGACAAATACAGACATAAAACAACATTAAAAGACAAAAATAAAACAAATAAAACAGTAAACAAAAGTCACTGTGAAATCGATCGACTAAAACAGTTCAAAACAAGTGCAAATCATTAAAGTGCTCTGTTCACACTGATAACAGCTTGTGGATAAAAACTGTTAGCGTAACGAGATGTCCTGCATCTCAGAGAGCGATATCTTCTGCCAGAGGGAAGAAGCTGGAACATGGCTTTCCCAGGGTGGCCAGAAGAGTCATTAACAATCCTAAGAGCTTTGTTTAAAAGTCTGGATTTATAAAGAACCTCCAGAACAGGAAGCTCACAGCCCACGGTCCTCTTTGCAGAGCCGAGCACCTTGTTTAAAGCTCTCTTTTCTTTATCTGTGATGTTTCCAAACCACACAGACACAGAACCAACAAGTAAACTCTCAATGGTGCAGCGATAAAAGTTAAGCAGAATCTTAGAGTTAGTGGTAAATTCTCTAAGTTTACGCAGAAAGTAGAGACGCTGACGAGCTTTCTTAACGACTCGGTCAGTGTTTTTAACCCATTTCAGTTCGTTAGACAGAGTTAAACCCAGAAACTTGCACTCCTCTACGATCTGTACCTGGGAGTTGTCGACCAGTTCACATGTTTTCGATGCGTTCAACTGGAGGTTGTTAGTTTGACTCCACTGAACCACATTTTGTATCTCTGCTCTATAAGAGGATTCATCATTGTCACTGATGAGACCGATGATGGTGGTGTCATCAGCATATTTAATGATCAAGTTTGAGTCAGAGGAGGACACACAATCGTGAGTGTACAAAGTAAAAAGCAAAGGACTCAAAATACATCCCTGAGGAGAACCAGTGCTCACAGAAACAACATCAGAAAAACAGTCATTGATTTTCACTCGCTGAGATCTGTCAGTTAAAAAGCTAAAAATCCATTTACACATGGCAACACTTAAACCGAGAGACATGAGCTTTTCAATCAGTTTACCTGGAACAAGGCAGTTAAAAGCAGAGCTATAATCGATGAAAAGCATTCTCGCGACAGATTTACTAGTGTCCAAGTGACTGTAGACAGAGTTCAGAGCAAAGGAGATGGCATCCTCCACACTCCTGTTCTGTCTGTAAGCAAACTGGAGCGGGTCAACACTCACAGGGATCTGGCTCTAAAACTCTAAAACTCATAGGAAGTAAAGCTTTGTTCTAGATCTGACCTTGTGAGTCAAATTCATGAAAACTTGGCATAATTTACAAGAAACACATTTTTAGACACTCAATATAAAAATCCTGTGTGAAAAGTAAAGCCGAGCTTCAGTCCAACCCTCTGCCTCTCGTCCTGCAGCTGGACATGTCCTCAGAGTACATTCTGGAGAATCTACACACGCTTCTCACTGACGTTTACTCGCACAGACAGGCAACCACAGATTTAGGTAAGTTTTCTCTTTTGTCAAACCCAAGTATAGCTGTAAAATAAAACAAATAAAAAGGCAAAAATTAGGCAATTAGAATCAATCATTTTCTGGATTTTGTAACAGGTGAATTGTAATTTGTATTTCATAAAGTTTCCAAAAAGTAAATAATGTATTATTCACATATACCTAGTCAAACCTCATTTTTTACATGGTTCTTTTCATTTGGCTGGCAGTCGTTAGCAAGAATGTTAGATTCCACTCCTTCTGAGTGGAGTAAGTAAGTAATGTTTATTTATATAGCGCATTTTACAGACCAAGGTCACCCAAAGCGCTTTACAATGTTCAGAGTTCAGATATTGTTCCAATCATTCCACACACAGTGATGATGGAAGCGAGTCGCCGAACACACTGGCGCATCAGCTCCCAATCAACACCATCCATTCACTCTCTCATTTACATTCATACCTATTGTGCATGTTTTTAGTGGTAGGGGAAACCGGAGCACCCGGAGGAAACAACGCCGACACAGGGAGAACATGCAAACTCCACTCAGAAAGGCTCTGTTCTGACCGGATTTTGAACCTAGGACCTTCTTGCTGAGAGGCGAGAATGCTATCCACTCATGGATCAATTATAATAACTGGATAGGGTATTGCTAGTTTATAGCTGAAGAACCATGTGCTCAGGAGATTCTCGACTTAATTCACGTGGGCTACCCAGAAATTTTCCCCATAGAACTCAATGCATATTAAAAAAGCTCAACCTCAGCTGACAGAGAACCTACAGCTTTCATAAAGGTCGGATTTTGTGGGGATTTTAGTGTCCCTTGTCATCCTGAACTTTTTTTCTTCTTAAATCCTTCGTTTTTTTAAAAATCCACACTTTAGTGCCACAAACTCTGCTCGTCTGGCTCTCGCTCTAACTCCCGCTCTAATGAACTGCTCTGATTGGTCTGAGCGCGGCCGAGCCCCTCTGTGCACGTGCATGAGACCCATGTGAGACCCACACACGCGTATTTGGTGCAACGCATCATGGGAGATAGCACAACGCATCATGGGAGATTATCCACTGTGCAGGTCCGGAAGGACCAGACGATGCCCAAATACAGGCGAGTTCCAGACGAGTTCCGCTAATATGTCAGCGACCGTGTTGGCACAAAGCGCCACTGAGCACAACCATTCATTTGAATACGGCGCCATCTTGGATCGCCGGGGCTTGTATCCACTCAGCCACCGTGCCGCCGAGTTAGCATGTTCCATTGTCTGCTCCAGTTTCCTCCGGGTGCTCCATGGGCATTCACAATAATTCCCCTCTCTCTGATTCTGAATTATCAGTGGGACTTTTGTCGATTATTGAAATAGTAATTTTGTATATTCGATTAATCCGTTATGAACCTTACATGGATTTGGTGAGAAGAGGTAACAGGTCATCTGTATGAAGATACTGTAAAGATCCAGGGGCAGCACTTTAGCTTTGTTTTTGTCAATTTTTTACAAACCTTGATTAAGCTTTCAGGATCTCACTAATTTATTAGAGTAATCAAAAGAATAGTAATAATTGTTCCTGCCCTAATCCATTGCAAAATGTATCGTAGTTTGAGCACTACGTCTCCCTTGGAATTAGAAAATAAAGTTTTTGAAGACTAAATAGCTTTGTCCCATTGGTAAATGTTGTTTTAAGACAGTCAGAATGTACTCAAATCAAGATAAGACACTTGATTCAAGCAATTATTACCTTAAAAATGTTTTACACTGTATATAGTATATAGCCTTTTCTCATACAGAACTCAAAACCATAAAAACCCTTGTGAAGTTCTTGATTCGCTTGTTTCATAAAGTGCAGAGTGAATGACTTCCAACTGTCTTTGAATGTTCCCTCTCCACTGCGAGATCCCACTTTGCCTGTGTTTAAGTTCAAAAACAACTGGAGCACTCATGTTTTTTCCACCACATTAAACCATTAACGAATCCTCGCTCTCCGCTCTTGTTTAATCACCGCTTCAGCCTGAGCGCTTAAGTGGAGGCAGCAGCATGAGGTGCTTTGAAACGGTGTCTGCTGGTAAATGTGTGGGCAGGAGGAGGCTGAGGCTGCTGCAGACAGGGGAGTGGGAGGTCATGTCTACGAATATATTGTGTTTATACTTAAATCTGATCTTGTGCAAGGAGAAAATGTTTTGGTTATGGACTAGACCAGACCTGGGCAAAGACTCACCCATTTAAATGAATGGAAATCACTTTCTAATGAAGGTTTGCTAACTTCATGAGTGCTACGATAACATGTTATACCTCATAATAATTCATCAACAACATCTGCCCCCAATTCATTTCATCCCCCAGATGCAACATTGCAGAAAGGGTTGAAAAATAAGTGAAAAGTTGTCTTTCTTTTGGATGGCTGTTTTGCTGTGTAAGCAAAAACACGGGAAGTTTCAGGTTTGCCTCCGTCATGATGCTCGTTTTCCTCAGCTGTCTGTGCAAATGAGAGACCTGTAGCTTTTCTCAAGAAAGTGGGGGTCACAATCTGGTCCCAAAACAAATTCTCTTCCGCGTTGCACGAAAACTCCATCTGAAATAAAATTGCACTCCAGTACAAACCATGCACTAATCATTCTTCAAAAGCACGTATCCCAATGCACTTTATGGATATGGATTGAATTTCCCTAATGAATACAAAAATAAAGTGAGGTAGTCCAGCTTCAATTTGCAGACGCTAATAAATGTGACATTCCAGCTTATCTTTTGTAATGTCTTTGAATAATATGAGAGACTTGAATCACAATGCGTTAAGAGTCGCAATATTATTGAATTGTGGCCCAAATATTGCAATACTATGGAATCGTCACACAATGGCCAATTCCCCCCACGAATGTATGCAACTTGCTATAATATCAATGTGCTATAAGTTTTTACAGCGTGTTGCCGTATACGCTGTAAAAAGCAAATTTCCTTTCAGTGCGTGGCACAAAAATGGTTCTATGAGTGAAGAGGCGTTCAAGGGCTGTAGGGAATCACCGCTTCTCTGTGTGGGAGTGAATTGTTGAAAAAGAATGGGGCTGTTTTAAATAAAGGAGCAGGCACCGGAGAAGATAATGTTTTCTTGCATTTAAATGCAAAGGGTTGAATGACACGGCGCCAAGGTTAAACACAGGAGAATTGTAGTTTTGTTTTCCTTAGTGCTAACGCTCAAGTTAAAATGAGCTCTTCTGATAAATAAAAAAGATTTATTTTTATACTGAGGTTACTATATAATTTTACAGTCTATTTAATTCATCACACATGGGTACTTACTTTTACTTTAGTTTGGTTTGACACCAGCAGGTAAAGGGAGGGTTGAGCAGGGAAATACACGGGACTGGTTTATACGTGATTAGGGAAATCGTCAGGGATGTCCGTTTATTAAATTTTTTTGTAGAAATGTTATCAAATGGATTAAAACAAACAGCTGTATATTGTCTAATTGTTTTTCTCCATCAGCTGTTAAGTGTTACATCCCAACATGAAAACTTGTGGCTTTAATTCAAGTGCGGCCTGTATGTGGACAAATGTATTTTATCTTAACATTTAGCTGGTGGGATTTATTTGCAGATGCGCTCAATAATCCAGCATGTACTGTATTTTCCTTTTCTTTTTAAGATGGGTATCAGAATCTGTATCTGAACTGAAAAGGCATCTATAAATAAGTCATTAATGAATTTGGATTTCTTCTTCTGTCGACCAGGGCCATTCATAGAGAGAGCCATCATCTGCAGTCAAACCAGTGAAGGCCTGTGGCTCAAAACCGAAGACCTTCTCCCAAAAACAGAGAAGAAGGAAGAGAAACTTTGAAATGATGCAACTGCCGTGAAATACATTGTTTTGTTTGTCAGCTTCAGTGTGTGTCTTCATTTACACAAGGAAACAAAATCACTCACGCAATATGGTATATATGTAATATGTGCCCTATGTCTATATACTTCCTGCGGCAGCTTAGAAAATCCAAGCTGCCTGCACAGATGTTGGTGCAGTTCTACACGGCCATCATCGAGTCCATCCTCACCTCCTCCATCACCGTGTGGTTCGCTGGAGCCACAGTCAGGGACAAACAGAGACTACAGCGCATCATGTGCTCAGCAGAGAGGGTGCGCAGCCTCCCATCGCTGCAGGACCTGTACGACGCCCGAGCTCGAGGGTGTGTTGGTCGTATCCCGGCCGTCCCCTCTCACCCAGCACATGGACTATTCCAACCTCTTCCCTCAGGCAGGAGACTACGGCCCATTTGGACCAGAACTGCTCGCCATAAGAACAGTTTTTTTCCCCTCTGCTGTTTGGCTCTTGAAAAAACTTCATAACCTTGTCCTCCCGCCCTTTATAACTTACTTAGACAGATGTTATTGATCCACAAAGAAATTGCGTCGTCACAGTATCTTGCATAGTATTTCACAATAGAAAATGATGTTAAAGTAACAATCTAAAAATAACAATAATAATAAGATAATATTTGTGAGAATAGAGTGTGGGATGAACGTGCTCTTGAACCGCTCACTGTGGCAGCGGAGCTGTATCTGAGAAGGAGCTCCTTTGCCCCTCTACAGTCAGGTGGAGTGGATGTGTTGGGTTGTCCATGATGAGCAGTTTTTCCAGTGACCTTCTGTCTCTCACTGTTGTAAATGTCTCCAGCTGACAGCCAATAACCTGTCCAGCTTTACGGATCAGCTTGTCAATCCGGGAGAGATCCCTTTTGGTGGTGCTGCTCCTCCAGCAGACCACAGCGTAGAAAAGGGCGCTGGAGACCACAGACTGGTAGAAGATCTCCAGCAGTTTACTGCACACGTGAAAAGATCTGGAAATAGTCTGCTCATGCCCTTCTTGTACACAGCATTGGAGTTCTCCTTCCAGTCCAGTCTGCTGTTTACGTGGACTCCCAGGTACTTGTAGCAGTCCACCATCGCCACTTCTTTGCCCTAGATGGTGATTGGCTCCATTGGCATCCTCTTCCTCCTGAAGTCAACAACCAGCAAAGTCAGACCTCAAAAGCTAAGCAGGATAGGGCCTGCTTAGTAAAGTGATGGCAGACCTCTGGGAACACCTGTTGCCTAGAATGAGTCTGGTGTGTGTATGAAAGATTGATGGTGGTTGGAGGGGCCGATGGTACATACTGGTTGCCTCGCTTCTGTCAGTGTGCCCCAGGGCAGCTGGTGAAGCAGGTGACATGTGAAACATCTTCGAGTGTCCAGAAAAGCGATAAAACCGATACATCATTATTATTGTGTCATTACTGTACTACTCAACATTCTCCACTTTGCTTTGAACTTCTTCCAGGCTCTACTGTACTTCCAATAACACTAATGCCATAATGATATATCCCTTAATCTCTGCAAACATCCATGTCAAAGTATTGTTTCTGCAACAAATCCCGACTGATTTCATGTAAGTCTTGGAGGGGATCAGGGGCCGTATTCCTAAAGATTCTGAGAGTCCTCTCAGAGAGCTCCTATCTTACCCTAAAAACTCCTAGCTAGGAGTCTTAGCTTAAAAGTTATTCCAGAACACTCTTAGAGAACTCTGAGCAAGGAATTGACAACAACTTTTATCTTAGTGAGGAGGCGTGGCCGACCCCGTTGCTAGGTATGAGTCATCATTTCAGACGCTGTGATTGGTTGATCTTAAAAGTTAGTAAAAACATATTTTTGATGATAATGGGCAAAATAAGGGCCCTAAAATGGACAAACTCAATCATGGAATCTAATCTTAGGAATACTGTGTTATTGTAAATAATAACCAAACGCTATAAAGTCAGATATATCAATGGTGCATAAATACTGTGAATAGTAAGATAGACTTTTACACCACATCATCAGAGCTTGCTCAGCACCAATTTCTAACAAATACATAGTACGTATATATCATGAGCACTTATAATTTTATATTATATATATATATATATATATATAATATATATATATTTATGTATATATACATACAATTTAAATATTACTCTATATATAATATACATGAAAAAGAAAATTATTATAATAAATATTATATGGATAAATGATGATAGTGATAACGTTAGGATTAGTAAAGGCTGTGATTCTGACAGACGTATAAGGCATTAAGGAAACAATATTAATACAAACATATTATACATACAATGTACAAATCAAGTACAAGGGAGTTTAAAAGTCTTAACCTCTCTCACTCCTTTTTGAGCTGGATTGTTGTTAATAAAACAAAACTGTGTATTTGTACTTCTATTCTGTTGTTGTTTTGTTTGTTTTTGTCCTTTTTTCTTGTTTGCCATGGCTCAAAATAAAGTATTCATTCATTCGTACTGAATGTGTGAAAATGTAGGCCCACTTGTACAGTATTAACGCAATAATAGTTACATTTACTTGCTTTTTATTATTACCATGCTGGTTATTTTCTCTCTTTCAACTTTCACCATTTCTACCTACTTTTGTGTAACAAGGGTAAAATGGATGAGTTGTTATTGCTGACCAGCCTATAAGAAGCTGGTCACATGATTGACTTTTAAATATTACAGAAGCATAATTCCTGCTCGACTCAATCTGTAGCGTTTCACTGATTCACTGTCATCCAGTGTACTAGAATATTTCTCCTGTCTCCACCGTCCACCATTTTGAGCTCTTAGGGAACTTTTAAGTCGCTAAAAGTCCACCTCTCAACTCTTAAGGGATCTCCCCTTAGGAGCACTCTTAAGAGCTAGGATTCTTTAGGAATAGCTTTTATCTTAACTAGGAGCTACTCGTCACTTTTAGGGGAAATTCTAAGAGTTGGTCAAGATTCTAAGAAAATTCTTAGAATTTGGCCACTAGGAGCAACTTTTAGCACTAAGAATCTTTAGGAATACGGCCCCAGATCTTAATGGACGCCATCTGTGCTCACATGCAGCTGGTGTGGTTGGAAGCACACAGCAGGATAATGCACCGTGTTTTAATGTGTATAAATAATCTAATAGCAGATGTGTAGAGTTTGCACTGGGTAGTTTGTTCTGTGAAAATAGAGAATAAATACACAAACTGTAAAATAATATGAGAAAAGTTGTATTAAGCCTTTTTAAATCACTTACTGTTTAGCATCTAAACCGTAAACAATGGCTCTATGTATTTCTTTTTTTAATCTCTGCATTTCCTGTGTTTGAACTGTTTCATTCCCTGGTCTGTGTTGGAGAATCGACAACTTTGAGAGAACTACTGACTGCTGTTGTGATTTAGGGCGATACAAAAATAAATGGAATTGAATTAAATAGCATTGTTTTCCCTTATTCAACCACTGAAGTTGTATAATATGTACTGGACATATTTATGTCACTAAAACTATAGTGTCATACCACAAAATGTTGAACTTTTTCATTTTAGTTCTTTGCTCAGTCTGGTTCTCAAACTGTATTTCTTTGGCATGTCACATCATTAGAACAGGTCTTTCACATGGAAAAGTGAGAGGAAAGGACCAGCCAATCCCTTATTCTCTAATATTTCATTGATTTGTTGATATTTTACTCACTAAACAAAACCAAATGTATTATGAAAAAGGATAGCTTCTAAAACCTTAACAAAAAAACCTTGAAGAAATGAGAAGAACATAATGCCACCTTGACACATTTTTTAAAAATCCAATAAAGAATCTGTTTGTAAATGATTCCAAATGACACTTGCATTTTTCCGACTACATTAAATCATCAACGGATCTTCGCTCTCTGCACTTTCTTAATCTCCTCTGCAGCCGTGACGCAGAAGTGGAGCCGGCAGCATGAGGTGCTTTGAATGATATTAAATGGTTCTGTGGAGTGGGCAAGAGAGGAAGAGGAGAATAGTAGATCTGCAGAGGAGCGTGTGAGTAAAACCCACGCATTAGAAAAATGTGAAACATAACTAACTTTAACACAAACTACATCAATAAAACCAGTTTGTGACATAGCACAGTGGGAAAAATTTGCAAATTGAGAAACATATATATATGTATATTCTAATGCAGAATGTGTTAAGACTATAGGAAGTCTAATGCATTTTTTTTTTAAATACCTCAGCTTTAAAGCAGACAAAGTAGTTATTTGACTTTTTTGAGCTTTTACTTTCTCTTGTCAATATTATAGACTTTCATTTAGATATATTCTTGCATGTTTGATTAGTCCTGTATTGTTCTGTGTTTGAGGCTCATCAAAAAGCAAAAAAAATCACCTACCACCCACTGTATCCCCATCTCTTTGCTTACTTTATGATCACACTGACTGTGGCAAAGCCATAGGTTTTGAAAGCTACAGTTGTTTTGCATTTTTAGGACCATTTTCAGTACCTTCTTCATATTGGAAAAATCTCAATAATATTTTGGGTTGTCAATCACTGCAGCAACAGTCCCTAATTTTCATCAGTCTGAAAACGTGAATAATACATTTAAAATCAGAATCAGAATGATTTGTATTGCCATTGTAAGAAATAGGAAGTCATGAGCCATAATTTTGCTTTGACTCAAGGTGCAAACAAGTTGTAAAAGTAAAAACAGATACAAGACATGTATTAAACATCATCTTAAAATGTCTTAAGATTACTACTATATATAAGTGCACACTAAGTACACACATTAGACATTTGACAGTGCAGCTCAGTGGCAGTAGTATAAAGTGACAGTTGTAAGAGCAGGGTTATGAGTGATGTGTTATGAAGTGTTCATTAGTCCGACTGCAGAAGGGAGGAAACTGTTCTTATGGTGGGAGGTTCTGGTCAGGATGGGCCATAGGTATCCTCCTGCCTGATGGGGGTGTTTGGAAAAGTCCATGACTAGCCCCTCTCACCTGCACATAGAATATTCCAAACACTCCCCTCAGGCAG